CAGGGTCCAATTTAATGTCTTTTGACATTTAAAAACTCTTCACAACCTGGCCTATTCCAACCCTTCCAATCATCTTCCATTCTACCCCACCTCCACAAAAGAAGAAATTTAGTCATCCTGGCCTAATTGATATTCTTCTCACACAACACTCCATTTCCCATCTCTGTGCCTTTGCACTGGCTGTCCACCATGCCGGGAACATCCTCCCTTCTTACATCAGGCTCTTGGAATCCCTAGCTTATAGCTTAAGTGTCACCTCCTCCAGGATGCCTTTCATTGTCCTCCCAGTGGCTAGGGTCATGTCCTCTAACCCTCTTCCATCATTTAGTATGTATCGTGTGTGTTTTGATGGTAACTCTCCATTTTCCATCAGCTGCTTTGCTGGGTGATTCTAAGGAACATCCTACCTCACCTGGGATAGGCTAATCACCTGAAATCTCATCACCACACTAAGGGACTTGGTTTTTCATACTCAACACTTTTCTTGGCACCCTCAGTTACCTCTCCCCTCTGATTGGAGGACTAGAGGGTAGAGTAACAAAGACTTCCCAGAGGCTTCCTTTTTAGAGGAACTTTCCAGGTATCTCCATTTTCCATCAGTAGCTCTGCTTAGTTTTGACTCCCCAGAAGATCATGAGCCTGCCCTGGCTACATCCTAGTGTCCCCTTCCCCCTCTTTCAGCTTTCTTTTGTGTGTTACCTTTCCCCCATTAGATTACAAGCTACTTGAGAGCAGGGACTTTCTTTTTCTTATTTGTATCCCCAAGAGATTAGCATGGTACCTAGCATGCAGTAGGTGCTTAATAAATGTTTATTGAATTGAATTGAATTTATATACAATGTCTTCCCCATTAGAGTGAACTCTTGAGAGCAGGAACTGTTTTTGCTTTTTCTTTGTAGTCCTAGAATTTAGCATAGTTCCAGACACACATCAGGCATTTAATAAATGAGTGTTGATTGATTGAACATCTTGCCCAGAGTCATAGAGCTGATATTTATCTGAGGCAGGATTCAAACTCAAGTCTTCCTGACTCCTAGTCCAGCAATCTCTCCATAGCATCACCTAGATGATATGTCTCTATAGCCTGAGTGGTCTAGACTTAATAAACTCATGAGACTTTGGAGGTAGAAGGAACCTTATGGATACCATAGTCTAACTCCCTCACATTAAAGATGAAGAAACTCAGACCCAGAAAAGTTGGGACTTGTCCAAGGTCTCACAGCTAATTAGTACCAGAGCCAAGACTAGCATTTAAGATTTCCTGACCCTTCTCCCACCCCAGTCCAAGATTCTCCACTGTACCATCTTCTGAGGCTCAATTCTTTCCTTCTATTAAAACTTGTGACAAACTCCACAACCAACTCAAATCATTAAAGTCTAACTTATGTGGGCAAACATCAACCTAGACTAGCACCATTTCCTGTGAAACTGTAACTGATGTAAAGCCATTTCCACAACATAGAAATGGCCTCAGCCAGCAAACACTTGATCTTCTTGCCAAGTAAAAAGACAAGGTGGCCAAGGGAAACATAGGTTTAAAACATAAAACATAAAATTGTTTGTGAAACCAAATGGAGGAGGATATCCCAAGATTATGAGCAGTATGGGCCCATAAAATAGTGAGAAACAGTGGAAGGAAAAATGAGTTTGTTGAAAATCTGGCATGAGATTAAGCAACAAAACCTAAAGGGAATTTATAGAAGAAACTAGAAAGAGGAAAATAAATCCCCAAAATGGGAAATATCTGCCATATTTCGTATAACAAACTACTAGGCAGACATATGGTACAGTGTTTATGGCACAGGACTTGAAGTCACAAAGACTGGAGTTTGAATCCTAACTCAAACACTCCCTAGTTTCATGACCCTGGCCAAGTCATTTACCCTCTTAGCTTCCATTTTCTCATCTGTAAAAGGGTGATGATAATAGCGCCTACCTCATAAGACTGTTGTAAGAATCAAATGAGTTAAAATATGTGAAGTGCTTTGTAAACTTTAGAACACTTTATAAATGCTAGCTATTTTCTTCATCGATAACCTTAGAGTCACTACATTTGACTTTAACATCAGTCCCCAATATGTTATATGTGAAGTAACAATGACACTGAAGAAAAATTAAGTATACTTAGAAGAGGTCCAGGCTTGCATTGACACAGTGGTTGGGGCATCAAAGGATTGGTTCTCAAGATCTATAAAAAAATGAGAAGCTACCAAACTACTGGGAAAAATACTGTATGGATTAACTATCCAGAAAGGATGATAAAAAAGAATATCCTCAGACACTTGACACTTACTAGCTGTGTGACTAGAAAGTCACTTAACCCCATTGCCTAGCCAAAAAAAAAAAGAATATCAATTACTATAGACCCTTTTTAAGCATTTTTTCCTCACCCTTACAAAATTTTAACAGAAAAAAAAACTACATACATACTGTTCCTGATGAAAATATAAGAAAGTAACAGGAAAGTGTTCACAAATGTTATTCTAGAGAAGCCACATTTTTACAGTCACATAATTGATTGAAAGTGCAAAGAATCCAACCCTTTCATCACAGGAATTTTTAATACTTCTCTTGCTTTTGAAGGTTTGCAAAGCATTTTTTATATATTATCTCATTCAATTCTTACAAAAGCCTTGTGAGATAGGTGCTGTCATTATCCCTATTTTATAGATGAAGAAATGGAAGCCAAGAAAAGCTAAGTGACTCACCCAGGGTCACACAGCTAGTGAGTATCTGAGGTGGGATTTGAAGTCACAGGACCTGAATTTGAATCCTGGCTTAGCCATTTACCCCCGTGTGACCTTGCACAAGTCATGTCACTTCTTTGGGCCTCAGTTTCCTCATCTGTAAAATGAGAGAACTCCACTAAATGACCTCTGAGTTCCCTTCCAGCTCTAAATCTGTGAGCGTAGAAGGCCCAGAAGGAAGAAAACACAGACATGGAAAGTTCATAAGGAGAGAAGAACAAGGGAGAAGGAGAGGTTTGACTCTTTGACTACATAGACCTTTATGTGAGTGGAAGCCTCCTTTAGAGAGGCAGTATAGTGAAAGAGAGAGGCATTATTAGCCTTGACATCAGGAAGAGCTGGGTTCAGTTCTTACCTTACTTAGATACTTACTGGGTGAGCCTTGGTAAGTCACAGAACCTCTCTAGCTCTTAGTATCCTCTACATAAGAAAGGGGGTTTGACTTGATGACCCCGAAGGTCCCTTCCAGCCCTAATTCTACCATTGTGCACCCTTGCCATTCATTTTAATGATAGCTATAGCTACCATTTATGCAACACTTTAAGGTTTGCAAATATTTTCAAATGTTGTTTTACTTTATCCTCACAGCAAGTCGCTACTATTATCCACATTTTACAGATGAGTAAACTGAGGCAAAAGGGTTACATCACCTGCCCAGGCTAGAAAGTAGATGCTATTATTATCTACATTTTCCAGATGAGTAAACTGAGGCAAAAGGGTTATGTGACATGCTCAGGGTCCCAAGCGTCTGAGGCCAGATTTCAACTCAGGTCTGCCTGACCCCAGGCCGAACCACTGGGTGACCTTTATAAACATACTGGGGACAATGGAAAGAACCACGGAAGAAGGGAGGTCTTCCTTGGTCCCTAACCTGGCTCCTGCACAGTGGATAAAGCACAGGACTTAGAGTGAGGAAAGCCTGGTTCTAAGTCCTCCCTCGGATACTTGATCGCTGTTTCAACCTGGGCAAGTCACTTAAACTCTCGCAGACTCAGTTTCCTCATCTGTAAAATGGCTCATGAGGTCCCTCCTAGGTCTAGATTTATGACCCTTTGAGCCCTTCATGGAGGACCCAACGTGGAAGGAAGGGGGAGCAGGAAAATGCTCTCCACATCAGAAAAGGAGAATGCGTAAAGAGGGGAATAGAAAGGCCCTCAAAATCCATGGCTTCTGCTTCCTGGGATGCTTGCATGCGACTGAACAAAAAAAGGTTAAGAAAATAATAAAAGGAGGCTCCTGGAAGCCTGCCCCTGAGAACGCCTCGGGCCAAGTTTCTGAGGCAATATTGCCATCTAGCGTTCGAATAAGCCCAAGTCAAACTCTAAAGCAAATGAAATTTAGAGGTCAGTGGCTCCTTTAAGCCAGGGCTGTAACCAGCCTTATCTGTTTAAAAAAAATGAGAATAATAATATTTTGTCTCTCTCCTTTTATTCCCGAGTGGTTATAAGAAAAGTGATTTGGAACTAGTGCCAGAAAACCATTGGTGATTTCTTTGATCTTTGATTGAAGATCAGGTGATCTTCAACGATGATGATGATTTGAGATGTGTTAAAAAAAAAAAAATCTTTACATAAACAAAGCATTTATGTGTGTGTGTTCTCATTTTATGTGCACAATAACCCTCTGAAATAAGTCAGAAGTCTAGAATTAAAAGGGAACTTCAGAGTCCGATGACCTCATTTGGCGGTTGAGGAAATGAGTCTCATGAACATAGGGACCAGCTCTTCAGAATGGCTATGTGATCTCATGGACCCAAAGAATCATACATCATGAGAGTTAAAGATCACCCAGACCAACGCCCTCATTCCACAGATGAGCAACTGAGATCATAGCCATTCAGTCAGTTAGCAGCCGAGCCAAGACTAGAACTCAGGTCTTCTGACTCCTAGTCTACCGTTTTGGTTTGTTTTCTGCTATGCCAAGCTGTTTCCTTTGTTTCCTGAGCAAGTCATATCTAGTCTTGTTTATTTATCTGTTATGAAAAGGAATGGAAGGTGAAGGGAACAGGGAGGAGAGGAGGAACATGGTGGCAAAATCCGGAGATTCAGAAGTACAGTCAGGAGAGGTATGAAACAAAAAACAAACAGCATATCTAATCCATCTTCCCCATTCCAGTTGTTCAAATATTTAAGGAGAGCTATAGGTCTCCTCTTCTCCAAGATAAACATCCCCAGTTCTGTGAATTAATCCTCACCTTCTCCATCCTGGTAACTCTACTCTGGACATTCTCTAGCCTATTAATGTCCTTCCTAGGAATGAACACAATCCTTGAGACGTAACTGGACCAGAGTACAGCAGAACTAGAATCAGGGGTGTGTTGGTAAGTGTTTAACAACCAAAAGGCAGAGGAGGGGAGGGGAGGGGAGAGTAAGAGTTACACACATACTTTAAGCGTAATCTGAGTCATTAACATTTTCTGCATCATGTAAGTCTAGAACGTCAACAAAACAATAAATCAAGCCCAGATTTGTAGCATTTACATTTCTAAGGAATAATGTTTACTCTGAAAACTGAACAACCAGCTTTTCTCAAGCTGATTCAAGTAGGTTACAGCACACCCCTACAAAAAACCTAGTCTCTATCTAGTCCCAGATCGCACTAAGCTTTGTTTGGCTGTTGGGTCACAAAGCTAATTCCGGTTGAGCTTGTAATGCATTAAAACCCTCACATTTTTTTTCAGACAAACTGCTCTCCAACTGTGTTTCCTCTATCCTCCACTTGTAAAGTTGGTTTTTGAAAGTATAAGACTAGATTTATCTCTTATTAAACTTTATCTCTGTAGAGTCAGCTCAATTTGTCAGTATTTTTAAAAATCCCATCATCTAATGTTTTAGCTACTCTTCCCAGATTTTTGTCTTTATCCAAGTCCTTAACACTTGGATAGTGCTAAAAACAGCAAGGTGGTAGAGTGGATAGAGTGCTAGGTCTACAATCCTGAAGATTTGAATTCAAATCCTGCCTGCTTACTAGCTGTATGACAGTGGGCAAGTTACTTAATCTCTGTCTGCCTGTTTCCTCATCTATAAAATGAAGATAATAATAGCACCTACCTCCCAGGGTTGTTTTGAGGATAATATAATATTTACAAGGAGCTTTGCAAATCTTAAAAATGCTACATAAATATTACCTTTTGTTGTTAATTAGTAAAATATTAAACAGCACAGACCCACACATAGATCAAAGATGCACTCCACTGGAGACATTAAAACCAGTAACACCTATTCAACCAGCTCTGAATCTATTTAATTATACTACCATCAAGCCTACATTTCTCCACTGTTTCCGTAAGAATAATATGAATTTTTTTTGGAGACAGAGTTAAGTGACTTGCCCAGGGTCACGTGGCAATATGATTTATTTTAGCAAATTCATTGCTAATATCTCAGTCGTTATATCTAGAATATTCCCCTATTCCCCCACTTTAATCACACTTTAAAAAATAGGAAATATAGTTAATCTGCCATGACCTGCCCTTGACGTAAGATGGCCCAGCCCTTTGTGATCACCACGTTCTTCTCTAGATGTTTAGGGAAGTCATCTCTTTACTAACTTTTACTGTTCTAGAACTTTCCCTAAGAACCAAAGTCAAGCTCACTAGTCCATGAACTCCATTCTCTTTGCTTTTTTGAAAGTTGGAATATCTCCACACAGCAAGACAAAGTTCATTTGAAAATTAAACTTCAGTCTGGTTTCATCACTTATTAACTTCTGGAATAAGTAGTGCACGCTTTAAAAAAGGCAGGCTATTAAACACAATTAACTTTTTTGTTGTTTTCTGAGATCTGGTCTAGGAAATCCTCAGCTTCCCACACAATCTCGCAGTGAGCTGGCTGGCGTACGGCTAGAGGAGTCCAAGCTGTGTCTGGGCGCCACTGCCCCTTTCCCACTACAGAAACAGGAATCAGGTTTGCAGTTTGTCTATCTTCTCAGTGACATGGATCACAGCAGGCCGGACAGGAAACTCCCCTTACTTAGATCTTCTGGGTTCTGGGAGGGCTTCTCCTGGAGCTATAGAGAATCCAATCTTAAAAAATCAAACTGGGGGTAGGGGGAGGAAGGACACTCCCAAGGAAGACTGATTTTCACTTTCCCTCAGGTGTAAGCCTACATGGGACAGGTAATGGAGAAGATCTCCCCCTCCATGCCTAGGACACATGTAGAGGAAGCCTGGGATTGTAGAAAGGTTACTGGTAAAAGAGACTGTATATTGTGACCTCAAGAATAGGACCATGTGGGGCTACAAATCAGCAATTGTTTTTATTTTATTTTGTTTTAGAAGTTATTGCTATATTTGTTTATTTTTTTCTCTTTTATATGTTTTTATTGATATTTTGTTTCTTATGTAACCATAATGTACTATGTATCCCTCTCCCTTCCCTTTCCTTCCCTTCCCAGAAAGCCATCCCATATCACAAATAGTATTTTTTGAAGAGGAAAAAAAAGTCACCACAATTGATTGATGCATTGAAAAATTCCCAAAATATGTGCAATGTGTAATATCTATGGCCTTCCACTTTTACCAAGGACAAGTTGGGGGGTCCTCTCATATCTCTTCACATTAATATTGAAATAGCAAATGAAACTTAGGGTGTGAAATTTGTCAGCTCTATTTTTTTAACTAGGGCATGATAGGAAACATTAGAAAAGAGAAAAGAAAAGGAAGGAAAGGGTCTGAAGAAGGGTCACATGTACATACAAAATACAGTGTACCCATTTTCCCTTCCCTGGTTATGTCACTTCTTCAGTCCCTGATGAAAAGTATAGGATAGTTTGACTCTTTATGTCAGCAAACCAATGTCTCTCTAGACACACAAATAAACACACACACACACACACACACACTCTCAACTGAATTTGTCCCCAATGTTAGAATTCCCAGTCATAGCTTTGCTTGGGCACAAAGTACCCAGCCCCTTCTCATTGTCTGCAGAGTAAGAGTAGTCATGGGATATGAGATACTGAAAACTCATTCTTTCAACAAGGTAGGATGAAGAGTCTTGTTTGATACACAGCTTCCACATGGTCAAAGGCCAGTCATTTGGTAAACTCCCTTTATAGATCCAATCCTTTGAATAGTCTCAGTGCCATTTGCTTTACCCAACAAGGTCCTGAAAAATATCCTTCAATCCTTTTTTATACTATGCTTCATTCTCTCTAGGATATGAGAGGGGAGTAGAAGAAACTGTGCTAGGTGCTAGGGGGAAAAAGAAAAGGAAAACAAAGTGTGAGACATATAAATACTTATCCCCTCCACCCCATTCTAACATTTTAGTGAGGAGAAAGCTGAGGCCCAGAGAGGTTAAATAATTTGCCTATTGTCACAGAGGTAGTATAACAATCTATGAAGTCCCTCTCAGCTCTAAATCCTAAATTCTGTGATATATATGTCAAATGTTCTTTATTATGTTTGCCTCCAGTTTTTTTCCATTCTCCTGGCCTTTGATGCATTCCTTTCTCTCAGACCTTGATAAGTTTTGCAAAAGTCACATATTTCTGTCACTGACAAGGTCTTTCATTTGCAATTCTGCGGGATACCCAGGCTGTTTTCAGGAAGTGGCTAATAAGAGATTGACCCATTGACCCTATTGGGACATCTGTTGTCCAATAAGTATCTAAGTTTTTAATCCAACGAAACTAGTATGAGAATATCACACTAGAATATCACAGGAAGAATCTATCAAGTAAATGTTATGTGCCATGCACTGTATTCTGGCTGGGAATACAAGGATAAAAACCAAGGTGTCCTTGATTCTCAAGTTACATTCTGCTCTGGGGTTTGGACAGAGAGCAACATGCATGCAAATGAGAAAATGGAGAATCTATACAAAATAATTAAAAAGAAATTTCAAAGAGAGGTGCACTAACAGCAGGAGAAGCAGGAAAGGGAAACAGAATTTGAGCTGAATATTGGAGGGAACTAGAATCCTAAAAGATGGAAGTGAGGAGGGAGAACGAATTTTCCAAGCATGAGGGATAGCCCTGTTGTGCTTAGTGGGGAGAGCAAGGAGGCCATTTTGGCTGCAATGTAGAGTACAGGACAGGAATTTCTAAAATCATCTTGGAAAGATCAACTGGAGCCAGATTGTGAAAGTCTCTAGAAGCCCAACACTGCATCAGCCAGAAAGGAGTACATTGTAATGGAAAAAGGATTCGATTCACAATCACAGAATCGTTGGCCAGTAGTGTGTGTGTGTGTGTGTGTGTGTGTGTGTGTGTGTGTGTGTGTGCCTGTCTGTCTGTAGGAAGAGAGACCTACACCCCATGTGGTGAGGGCTATCATTGTAGGGCTCAAAGGGAAGGAGAATAGACATCTCTAGCCTCTTCTTCTCCCACACTTCTCCAAGGGAGACTAATTCCTGCCAGGAGGAGAAGCAGGAAGTTGGGGCCTGAGGCTACTCTGCTATCCTCTAAGAGAAAGGGTAGCAGGGTAGAATTATATCTACCTGATCTCTTAAATATTATTAGTCTAGGGAATAAAATTGGATTCCATCTAATTTCTGATAGCTATGTCATTATTGGTTGGTTGGTTGTTATCCTTTGTTCTCAGAGAGGACCAAAATGACATCACTGTATTGGAATCAAGCATACTGTGTGTCTGACTGTGGCTGATCAGACCAATATGAACTCAGAAGGCTCTACCACAGATCGAGCACAAATAGCCCATGTGCACATTTGGGGTGGATTCTCTAAATCTGCGCATCTCGAGTCTCTTTGGAGCAACTTCAATTCTGCTTTGCTCATAGAGCACAGTACCTTCTCTGATGTGGGCATGCCATGCTGGGCAGTCCTGTGCCAGTGTCTCCCATGTCTCACAATCAATTCCAAAGTTGTTCAGAGAAACCTTGAGAGTGTCCTTGCATCGCTTCTTCTGATCCCCATGTGAGTGCTTGCCTTATAGTCTTTTAGGCAAATGTACTTTCGGCATTCAAACAATGTGGCCAACCCATTGGAGTTGTGCTCTCTGCAATAGAGTTTGAATGCTTGGCAGTTCAGATCAAGAAAGAACCTCAGCATCCGGTACCTTATCTTTCCAGATGATCTTCAGAATCTTCCTAAGGCAATTCATATGAAAGCAATTCCATTCCCTGGCATGGCATGGGTATACTGTCCAGGTTTCATAAGCACACAACAATGAGATCAGCACGATGGCTCTGTAGACCTGGAGTTTGGTAGGCAGTCTAATACTCTTCCTTATTCATGTCTTCCCAGAGTCTTTTCCTTCAGCAACCTGAAGTAGGGTTGGCCTCTCTCATCTTCTTTCTCAAAGATGGAAGCCAGAAATGCTCAAAATCATTATTGATCAGAGAAATGTGAATTTTAAAAAATCCTGAGATATCATTTTACACCTATCAGATTGGTTAAATTGATAGAAGAGGAAAGCAACAAATGTTGGAAGGGATGTGGAAAAATTAGGACTGTGAACTAATCCAACCGTTTTGGAGAGCAATTTGGAATTATATCCAAAGAGATAAAACTGCCCATGCCCTTGACCCAACAATATCCCTATTAGGTCTGTTTCCCAAGATCATTACGGAAAAAGGAAAAAAAAATCTTTATGTTGGAAATGGCTGCATAAATTATGGTATATGATTGTGATGGAATACTACTGTGCTATAAGAAATGATGAGTTCGATGATTTTAGAAAAACATGGAAAGACTATATTTATTTATTTATT